TCCATTTATCCTCCCCTGTCTATAATTGTCTTAAATATTGCCTCTACATACATTTAGAACCACATCAGACAGTGTCATAATTCTAGCATCAACCATCAAACATAATATAGAAAACTCAAGAGGAAAAGAAAAGTCTATTGTATATAGCCATAGTTTTGTTTATTATGTTCTTTCTTCCTTCCTCCTGCTCCAAGAATCCTTTTTTCCAATTGTTTCTTTTGTGTTTGAGAACTTCCCTTAGCTATCCTTTTAGGGTAGAACTGCAAGTGATAAATTCTCTTAGCTTTATCTCATCTGAGAGTGTGCTCATTTCCCCTTCATTCCTAGAAGATCATTTCACAAGAAATAGAATTCTGGGTGAACAGTTCTTTTCTTTCAGCACTTGAAAAATGCTGTGCTAATTCCTTCTGACCGTCATGGTTTCTGTTGAAAAATCTAGTGTCATTCAAATTGTTTTCCCCTATATGCAACATGTTGTTTCCCTCACTGCTTTCAAGATTATTTTCTTTGACTTTAGTTTTCAGAAGTGTGACTATAATGTCTTTCTGGTGTGGATTTCTTTGGTTTGGGATTCACTCAGCTTCTTGAATATGTAGGTTGTCTCTTGTCAAATTTGGGGAGTTTGGGGCCATTATTTCTTTGAGTACTTTTTCAGTCCTGCCTTCTTTTTCCTCTCCTTCCACGATTGTGATGAAACCAAGGTTTTATCTTTTGTTATAGTCCCACATGTCCTTGAGGCTCTGTCAATTTTATTTCTCAATCTATCATCTCTGTTGTTCAGCTCAGGGAAGTTGTATTGTTCTGCAAGTTTACTGACACTTTCCTCTGTCCTTTCCATTCAGCTGTTGAGACCATCCATTGAGTTTTTGTGTCAGTTATTGCATTTTTTAGTTCTAAAATTTTCCTTTGGTTCTTCTTTATATTTTCTGTTTCTTTACTGAGACTTTCTGCTTCTCCGCTAAGACTTTCTAGTTTTTCATTTGTTTCAAGTACATTCATAATTGCTCACTGAGGCATTTTTGAGGGGAGCTGCTTTAAAATCTTTGTCAGATGATTCTAACATCTCCGTTATCTCAATTTTGACATCTATTAATTGTCTTTTCTTTTCTTTCGAGTTTAAATGTTCCTGATTCTTGGCATAACAAGTGATTTTCTATTGAAACCTGGACATTTGGGGCATTATGAGAATCTGGATATTAGTTAAACTTTCTGTTTTAGCTGGCTTCCTCTGACACTGATGTAATGGGGACAGTGGGAGAAGGGACTGCCTGTTACTGCTGGGTAGAAGTCCAGGTTCCCTGCTTGTCCTCTGTTGGCACCAGGGGTGGGAGGCGCCTTATTACTGCTGGGTGGGAGAAGGAGTTCTGGCTCTCCACTAGGCTTCTGCTAATACCATCCTAGTTGGAAGGAAAAGGCACGTCTCATTACTGTTCTCCACGAGGCCTCCAGTGACACCACAGGAAGGAGGGAAAGGGTAGCTTCACTACTGCTGGGCAGTGTTGAAAGTCTGGACTCTCCACCAACACCACCCCAGTGGAGAGGTGTTGGGACACCTTGTTACAGCCTGGTGAGATTAGAAATCTAGGCTCCCCATTCACCACCCCAGTCTCTGGTGGGGTGGGTGCGGGGATGGGGCCACAGGTTTTTCTGCAATGTTTGGCTGGAGTGGCACAGTTGCTGTCTAAAAGTTTTCTGTCTTGTTAAACTGCCCCTTCCCTGATCCTTTGGCTAGAGAGCAGGCTTTTGTTAGGGCTTTTTCCATCTGTACCCATTGGCATCCCTAGGTTACCAGCTTCTTTAGTTCTAAGTCCGGGATAAATTAGGAAAAAAGAAAACCCAGACAACTCACCACCATGTCAGTCCTTATGTCCCAAAGTCCCTAGCTACTCTGTCTTCTGCTTTTCACCATAGGAGTCTTCTCATGTTTGTTTTATACACAGTTCAGAGTATGTACACAGTTCTACTTAGCAGGAGGAATAAGAAAAAGAATATCTATTTCATGTTCCCTGAAGCAAAAGTAAACATAAGTTTTATGATACAATATTTTCTTGAGGACTATACATTAGTTGCTTATGGGAGACCTCATAACATGAATTCGCTCTTACCTAGGTCACGTCAAGCCATTTTCCTCCTGAGCTGTTGACCAAAAACAACTAAATATGACAGAAGCAAGGACAGCCTGGCTCCTTCACACTCAATTAAGATCTGGAAGGTGGTCTCCCAACTCCAGTCTCAGATAATTAGAATGTGAGTGATACTATCGAACTTCTCAGTAAAACAAACATAAGATTTTGTAACATCTCCATGTCTGCTGCCATGGTGTATGCACACTGTTAAGGTCAGTGATTCTCAATTGAATGAAAAGGGCAGTTTTGCCCCTCTCCCTAAAGGCTCATTTGGCAACATCTAGAGACATTTTTATTGTTAAGACTTGGGAGGAGCTACTGGCATCTAGTGGGCAGAAGCCAGGGATGCCTCAAAAATTCTATAATTCTCAGGATAGCCACCCACAATAAAGAAGTCACAAGCCCAAAATTTCAATAGTGCCAAAGTTGATAAACCCTGGTTTCGATGTCTGACCTACATTGACAGTTAAGTTTAATCTTCAGGTATTCAGTATATCTCCTGGCCCATGGAATTGTGAAACTCTGAATGCTGGGTCTGGAATGGCCTTGCCCAAGCTCTAAATAGAGACAATCCAGTCTTCCAAGACTATCTTACCCTTTGGCTTTCCCCTCTAGGGATTGCTGTGTGGCTCTAAGATTTCTAAAGTAAAAAATCATGTTCCTTTGCTTTCTCTGGAGAGAACATCATTTACATAAACTCCAAATGTTAAAAAAAAAAAAACTTTTATTCTAGTCATCTTAAGAATTTTTAAAATCATAATTTAGACCCCACTTTATACTTGTGTCCTTATTGCTATCTCTCACCTACCCTCCCACCTCCATTTTCAACAAATTCCCCATTGTTCCTTTCTCACTCGAATAAAACTTCTGAAACCACTTTTATCCAATATTGCCCTGGGCTAGAGCCCCTGGCTCCTGATTCTAACGCTCCATGATCTATGCCTCTCTCCTACATGAAACAATTCAGGTAACTGAAGCACCAAGAAAAGCTACACAAGAGAAATGAACACTTCCAGAAGAAGAACAGAATTCACTGTTCTGATGTCCACTATTCATTTGATACTCTCCCTTTATTTATCACTAATTCCACTTGAGTCCTTCAAATATGCCCTTCCTACGGGACCCTGCTCTGAAGCATAACTTCTCCAACTGTACAGGGCCTCTGAGCTGGTTTCTAATAGCAGTCCCTTTTCATGTCAAGTACCTGAACTATGTGATAGGCTATGGGGCCCATCTTAGAAGAAGAGGCCTTTCTTCTCTGCCAAGGCTCTTCTGGGACATCCCTGATTCCTTTATCCACATTAGATTTACAGAAAGTCTAATTAGAAACACTCATTTTGAAATGGCCCGAGCAGTCACCCTGATCTTGTTCAGCAACAGCAGTGAGATGCGGGTCTTAATTCAGAATATTTGTTGTACTCTGCCCAAAAAAACCATTAGGTCAAAAGTGACACTGTGGACTCTTGTTCATACATATTTTTGTTTCCTTTTATGATAACATTCTCTAAATCACAGCCAGGAGTGTATTCTGGGGCTGAAAATATTTTAAAGACCTAATGTGGCAGCAGTATTCTGTTTACTAATAAATTTGGAGCAGCAGCCAAGAACAGTAATAGAATCTTCTTCCCTCTTATTCCTTCTTCCCCTGTCATTCTCAAAAAAGACTATTTTTTTTCTTCCTTTCTTCGAGTGTGGTGCTCAAGTTCCCTTGTTACTATTTTTGCTTTGAATGTCCCTGCCAAAGCAAAGTCTATATAATAGACAAAATATTTTAAATTTAAATATGACCCTGTGTAGCTTTGCTTCCTGTTGGGGACATGTCATAATAAATGGACCATCCTGAGCACAATTCTAATCAAGTCTCTGGGACAGACTGACTGGGGTGGAATCCCAGCTCTGCCATGCATTAGTCGCAAAACACTAGACCAATCCTTTAGCTTCACTGAAGCTAGAAGGCCTCCTACATAAAATAGGACTTATGATTGTTATCTATCTACCTGATTGGGGTGGAGGGGTGTGGTGACAAAAATGCATACAACATGCATCCCCATAGTGTTTGGCACACAAGAAACACTTAAGTCTCTGTAACTCGGAAGGTCTAAAAAAATAAATTTTTAAAAATGTTTCAAGAGAACTGTTTTCACTGAAAATATTCTAAAATCCTTGTACATTAAACTTATTAGGCCTAGCACAGTGGCTCACACCTGCAATCCCAGCACTCTGGGAAGCGGCAGGAGGATTGCTTGAGGCCAGGAGTTGGAGACCAGCCTGAGCAAGAGCAAGACCCCTGTCTCTACAGAAAAACTGGAAAAATTAGCCAGGCGTGGCAGCACATGCCTGTAGCCCCAGATACTCCAGAGGCTGAGGCAGAAGGATTGCTTGAGCCCAGGAGTTTAAGGTTGCAGTGAGTTATGATCATGTAACTGCATTTTAGCCCCAGCAACAGAGTGAGACTCTGTCTCAAAATAAATAAACAATTAAATAAACAAACGTAATAGTTATATACTGATCTTAGGATATAAACTCACTTTTACTGTAATTCACTACTAATAATGCTAAACTGAGTTTTTCACATTAAATGCCTGCTTTTATTTCAATACAAAGCGTTTGAAAGGGAAGGCTACTAGTGATGTATTACTCAGGTCTTCAGCTAATGTTCTCCGAACAAGTTTTTGGCATAACTTTTCAATTTTTCACTTTGACAAGAGGATACGCTTCCTTGGTGGAAAATTAAAAAATTCAAATTGAAAATTCAGACAAAACGCAAAGAAGCTGAATACCACGGCAGTGTTTTCGCAGTAACATACCACAGACGCCTAAGTATTATATATAATAAAATAGCACATATATAACGTATCCTAAAGTTGCATTTACCCAGGAGAAATATTACTCTCGTTCTGGTTCACCTACTTCCACTTTAATGTCGTAGTTCTGGCCGAGGACGCTCTCTATGAGCTCTTTGATGATCTGGTCGGAGGCCAGCTGGGCCTCGGACTGCAGCGAGGCGATGATCTCCTCGATGGACTTGGGCATCGCGCGCGGGGGCAGCAGGGTCCCGTCGGGCGCCACGCTCTGCCGGTGGCTCTCGCGCTCTCCTCTGGACACGGACCCGGCCGTTTCCCGCGCTTTGCCAGCCCAGCCCTCGGCCTCGCGCCCGACGTAGGTGCTCCTCCGCACTCTCCTCCGCCAGCCGCCCGCCTCCGCGTCGGCGTCCTCGCTGGCGAGGGAGCTGGACTTCCTCTCTCTGGCCTTGAAGGGCCCTGGGGACCAAGCTGCCACCTGGCTCGCTCTGCGCCCCGCGGCCCGGTCGACGTCCCGCCTGGAGGCCGCGGGCTGCGGGCGCTCCGGGGCCCCGTGCGCCATGGGCCTCGCCCGCGGCGTGGGCGGCGGCAGCAGGACCACAGGTTTGGCCGTGCCGACCCCCGAGGCGATGACCGGAGGCTTCTTCTGGACCCGGTGCCGTAGGAACGCGGAGCTCCGTAAGTAAAAGCTCCGGGGCTGAAACGTCGGGGCCTTCCCAGGAGCCGCCGGGCCCAAGAGACGCGCTGCGCCTCCGAGCGCCCCCTGCAGGCCGGGCGCGGCCGAGAACTCGCGGCCTTTAGCCGGAGAGGACGCTTTCGGCGTCCGGAGTCCAGCGTAGGAAAGGCCCCTAAGGTGGGCCGGGCTGGAGGCGCGGAGGCTGTGGGCTGAGCCTTCAACTACAGTCGGCTTGGCGGCCAATTTCTGTTTGAATCGGACAAAATCCTTTTTAGTCTCCTGGCGAACCTTCTCAAGCTCTTTAAACATGTGTGATTCTTCTTTATGTTTCAGACCAAAGTGCTTCGGGATTGTGGACATCTTGACGATTTTGACCTGTAAAATAACCACCCCCCAAATTAGATTCTATTTATGCATATATATATAACACAAAACTGTTGATAAATACAATTCCAGTTCAGCAAAGTTTCTTAGGATAGAACCTCATTGTGCTGCTCCCTGAAGTACAAATGGGTAAACTAAGTATACAATTTTATAGCCATCGATTGGCCTTGTCACGAGAACCATGAGAAATCTCTAAAGCAGTAACTTTTTTCGGAGTGAGTTTCCCAAAATCCTACTGGATTTATTTTAACATTTCTTTAGACTATGATGCAGTGTCCCATTTCCAGGCAAGAGAGACCACACTAAGTATAGGCAAAAAAAAAAAAATCCAAAGCAGCCCTGCAAAGAGAAAACAGAGGGCACCATCTGTGGCGTGTGACCTGGATCCAGCCCATGATCATGTCTTCAGTTGTTCAGGGTATTTCAACATTAATTCATAGCCAACATTTTAAGTTGGAAGATTTTCACATAAAAATTCAGGTTTGCAGTTTCTCTGGAAAACAGAAAAGTGACAGCTCTGGCAGTGCAAGGGCCAAATCCCTGCTCTTGTGGCTGGAAAGCTGTTTCCCCTTCCTTCACCAGCTGGTCCCATGGGTCTCCCTCCCTCACTCAGCCCACTCCTTAATGTGTCACCTGAGCTAGAGCAGAGTGTAGGAAGGGAAGGAGGTGGTCAGCCTTATGGTAGGCTGCAGCCAGGATCATGACGCTTGAATGCCAGGTGTCTGTACTTCTTCTGTGAACCACTGGAAACCACTCAAAATTTTTAGCACAGTGTCTTGATAGCATCTGTTGCATGGGGGATATTAATATCAACTAGAAGACAGTATAAAGTCAGGAAGGGCAAGTACGAGTCTTGGTAGCTGGAACCCGAGACTTGGCCCTGGTAATGGAGCAGAGTAAAATTGGAGACCTAACAAGGTAAAGCTGGTGGGATCAGGCCAATGATTAGGAATAAATGGGAGGCCGGGTGAGGTGGCTCAGCCTGTAATATTAGCAATGTGGGAGGCCAAGGCAGGCAGATCGTTTGAGCTTAGGAGCTCAAGACCAGCTAGAGCAGGAGCGAGACACCATATCTACTAAAAAACAAGAAAGAAATTAGCTGGACAACTAAAAAATATAGAGAGAAAAAATTAACTGGGCATGGTAGCACATGCCTGTAGTCCCAGCTACTTGGAGGACTAAGGCAGAAGGATTGCTTGAACCCAGGAGTTTGAAGTTGCTGTGAGCTAGGCTGACACCAGGGCATTCACTCTAGCCTGGGCAACAGAGTGAGACTTTGTCTCAAAAAAACAGAGAAAGAAAGCAAAGGAATAAATGGGAGCAATTACAGCTCCTTCATAAAATAGGGATTTTCAATCATCTTAATGAAATCTTGATCATAACCAAGTGCATAATAAAACTTCTGTTATTCACTGAACTGTACCCTTCAAAATGGTTAAGAGGTAAATTTTATGTTATGTGTATTTTACCACAATTTTTGAAAAAACAACTTCTGTTATTCATGAATGAATTTTGAGATCTTGAAAACTCTGAGATCATTACTCAAAGCCAGGCTAACAGGAAATATAAATAGAAAAGGGGCCAATTACAGCTTCTGTGTCACACTTGCCTGTGGCAAATGGAAGGAGCAAGAGCAACCAGGGTTAGAAAAATGAAGAGAATAGAGTTCCACAGAAGGCAAGAAAAGCTGTGTTTCAAAAAATAGGTTTAAAGCAAGGAAAATAAAAACAAAAAATAATCAATTAGAAGAATAGTAAATTTTTAAAGCCCAAAGCCAAGATTATTTTAAACAAAATAAAATAATATAGCAGAAACCCCTCTGGAATATTGTCATTATTTCCAGTATGATTATCTACTAGAAAACCCAGGCACTAAAGAACTACTTAGAACTCTAATAAAATTCTACAAGTGATTTGAATTTTTTTTTTGTTTGTTTGGTTGGTTTCATTTTGTTTGGAGAAAGGGTCTCGCTCTGTTGCCCGGGATAGAGTACAGTGGTGCCATCATAGCTCACAGCAACCTCACACTCCTGGGTTCAAGCGATCCTCCTTCCTCAGCCTCTCAAGTAGCTGGGACTACAGGCATGCACCACTGCACCTGGCTAATTTTTTGTAGAGAGGACATCTTGCTCTTGCTCTGGCTGATCTCAAACTCCTGATCTCAAATGATCCTCCCACCTCAGCCTCCCAAAGTGCTAGGATTACAAGTGTGAGCAACCACACTCAGTAAGGTTTGAATTTTTTTTCTTAATTATACAAAAACCAGTTGTTTCCTTTATACCAAAATGGTCCAGTCAAAAACATAATGGTAAAATTTCATGTGTAATTTTTTTAAAAGACTCTCACATAAACATAACAAGAAATGTACTAAAACTATATGAATAAATTTTTCAAATTTTACTGAAGGACATTAAATAAAGATTCAACTAAATGGACAGTTAAATGTTCCTTGATGCGATGACTAGATATTATAATTATACTAGGTCTTCCCAAAATACTGTATTGGTTTAATGCTAATACAAAAATTTAAAAATGGTATTTTGAACATTTGAAAAGTTATTCTGAACTCATTTGAAATAATGAACAGGCTAGACTAACCAGAAATTTTATAAAATGAAATGAGGGAGCACTTGTATGAGAGAACGACCAGATAAATAAAATTTATACAGATATAAGTGGGACTGAAATACTGCTGCTAGAATCAATAGGTAGACTGAGAAGGGGAGAAAAAGAATTAAAAATACTATAAGTTATAAAAGTAGTATTAAATGTTGAGTTCATAATAATTTTTCAAATGTTCAAAATACCATTTTTAAATTTTTGTATTAGCATTAAACCAATACAGTATTTGGGGAAGACCTAGTATAATTACAATATCTAGTCATCATTTATCATGTAGTTTGGGTGGTATAAAGAGAACATCCTATTTATCCTCCAAATAGTCATACTGATTTTAATTTCTAAAATATGAACCACTGCTTCTCAAATTGAAGATCCTTCTACATGCTAAAGCTCTCATCTGGGAATCAATAGGCTTTCTTTCTTTACCCAGCTACACCACTGACTAGACCTTGGACAATCCAATTCTGTCCATACCAAGGGTTCATATTAAAAAAGTGAAAATAATAATCTGTTGTCTGTTTTCTAGACCAGAGTACATGAACATTAGAAAGGCCTTCTAAAGCCCTTAAGAAAGTTTCCTTATTTTAAAAAATGCTATATAATCCTCCTCGTCATAGTATTTTCGTTGTTATTGTTTGCACAGGTGGCAATATGTTCACACCAATACCACCTGCATTTCTTCCTGTAAAAGGTTAAAAGGTAATAACTGGAACAGAGCACAGAGCAGAAGTACATTAACACCTGATGAGAATTGGACTTGACTCTCCCAAATCCACTTCCCTTTTATTTCTTAGTTCCTGCTTTGGATGCCCTTCCCAACTTCTCCCAGGCCCTTGGTTTGCTATTGAAGTTTAACAAGTGTTCATTGTTTAACACTTCTCAGTACATTCCCATGAGTTCTTAATAGGAAAGTTTCTCTTTCTATCTAAAAGTAAACCAACATGAAATAGAACTTCTAAATTTGACAGGAACTTCTATTGTGCATTCAAGGTGGGTGGTATCCCAATGTGTCATGGGCCAGTCCATCAAAACTTGATGCCTTTATTCCCCCACCCACCATTCTACAATACAAAAAAGTAAAATAACTTAAACATCCAATCTTATGAGAAAATAGCATTTTCCCTCTTTCTTAGGAGCAATTTACTAAGAAAGACTAGATCTATTTTGGAGATACACAAGGAAAAATAGTGTAGTTGTCTCAAAAGGAGAAAGTTTGAACCTACATGAGGTGTCAAATCTGTGGCATACCATCCAGGTTGTTTAAGTTTACCCTGCACTTTAAAATGGAATATAGAATACACTTAAAATATTTGTGACCCAAGCAGTAATTTTACTCTCCTCTTTTTTCCAAATTACTGGAACTCTGCCTATACCTTTTTCTTTCTCTTCTACCAGGAGGTTTAAGGCCTGAGCAGTGAGGTAGCCAGAAGAGCCAAAAACCAACCTTTTTGCTTCTCTCA